TGAGTCCAAAATGACTCCCAGGCTGCGCACCTGGTCCTTCAGGGGCACAGTTAGCCCATTCAGGACCAGGGAATCCTCCACACCTGCCCGCCTCCTGTCCCCCAGAAACAGTACTTCTGTCTTGTCAGGATTCAATCTCAATCTGTTAGCCGCCATCCATCCTCCAACCGCCTCCAGACACTCACACAGGACCGTCACCGCCTTCACTGGTTCTGATTTGAAAGAGAGGTAGAGCTGGGTATCATCCGCATACTGATGAACACCCAGCCCAAGCCCCCTGATGATCTCTCCCAGCGGCTGCATGTAGATGTTAAAAAGCATGGGGGAGAGGACAGAACCCTGAGGCACCCCACAAGTGAGAGCCCAGGAGTCTGAACACTCATCCCTCACCACCACTTTCTGAACACGGCCCAGGAGGAAGGAGTGGAACCACTGTATGACAGTGCCCCCAGCTCCCAGCCCCTCAAGACAGTCCAGAAGGATGTTATGGTCGATGGTATCAAACGCCGCTGAGAGATCCAGCAGAACTAGGAAACAGCTCTCACCTTTGTCCCTAGCCCACCGGAGATCATCAACCAGTGCGACCAAGGCAGTTTCAGTCCCGTGATGAGGCCTGAATCCCGACTGGAAGGGATCCAAATGGTCCGCTTCTTCCAGGCGTGCCTGGAGTTGTTCAGCAACCACTCGCTCAATCACCTTGCCCAAGAATGGAAGATTTGAGACTGGGCGATAGTTGGCCATCGTGGCCGCATCTAAAGATGTTTTTTTAAGAAGCGGTTTAATAACTGCCTCTTTCAGCGGGTCTGGGAAGGCTCCCTCACGGAGGGAAGCATTCACCACCCCACGAAGCCCATCGCTGAGCCCTTCCCGGCTAGCTTTTATAAGCCAGGATGGGCAAGGATCAAGGAGACAGGTGGTTGGTTTCACTCGTCCAAGCAGCCTGTCCACATCCTCGGAGGTAACAGATTGGAATTGATCCCACGCAATTTGACTAGACAGGACTCTAGCACTCTCCCGCCCGGCCCTGCTCCCACGGTGGCGCCGTCCTCTTCCCGAATCTGAGCGTCGTTATCTGCAAAAATCTTTGCAAAATCATTGCAGGAGATCATGTGGCCCGTACTGGGCCCCGATGTAGCAGGTGGTTTCGCTAAATTGCGGACCACCTGGAAAAGTCTCCTGCTGCTGTTTTCTGCAGATGCAATAGAGGCGGTGAATAAAGTCTTCTTCGCCGTCGCTACCGCCACTTGGTAGGCTCGACATTGAGCTCTAACCTGTGTCCGGTCAGCTTCAGAATGGGTCATCCGCCACCGGCACTCTAGCCGTCTCAACGATTGTTTCATTGCCCTCAGATCCGTGGAAAACCACGGGGCTGTCCGGGCTCCATGTAATCGGAGAGGGCGCTTTGGAGCCAAACAGTCAATAGCCCTGGTTAACTCCACATTCCAGCGGGCCACCAGGGAATCAGCTGAAAGGCCATCAACATGGGATAAAGCATCCCCTACCACTCTCTGGAAACCATTTGGATCCATTAAGTGGCGGGGGCGGACCATCCGAATCAGTCCCACCTCCCTGCAGAGGGGAAGGGTCGCGGAGAAGTCAAGTTGCACCAGGAAGTGGTCTGACCATGGCACTTCTTTCGTTTCGCTTTTACTTAGTGTCAGATCACCAACATCCATGGAGGTAAACACCAGGTCCAAGGCATGTCCGCGGCTATGGGTTGGGCCAGACTTATTCAAGGACAGCCCCATGGAGGCCATGCTTTCCATGAAGTCCCGAGCGGCCCCTTGTAAGGTCGTGTCGGCATGGATATTAAAATCCCCTAGGACAACCAAACTAGGTGTCTCCAGGAGAACATCTGCCACGACCTGAAGCAGCTCGGGCACGGAATCCTTGGTGCAGCGGGGAGGTCGGTACACCAAAAGGAATCCTGTACGGCCCCTATTGCCCAACTTCCAGAACATGCACTCAGAGAACTGGGTCTTCCCAATAGGACGCCTGGTGCAAACTAATGACTTCCTAAAAATCACTGCAACCCCCCCCTCCCCGCCCACAAGGCCTGGGTTGCTGTGCGTAAGAGAAACCTGGTGGACAAGCAGCGGCAAGAACAGGCCCATCTGCTTCATCCAACCAAGTCTCTGTTACACATGCCAGGTCAAATCCTCCATCCATGATCAAGTCATGGATGGCAGTGGTCTTATGAATCATTGACCTGGCATTGCACAGCAGCACCTTCAGGTCATGTGGGTATCCCTTGCTGATTCTAGTATCCGTCCAGTCAGGACCAGACCCGGAGGCAGGGATAGTCCTCAGACAACGACTAAACCTGCCTCCTCTGTAATGACATGGTCTGGTCTTAGCGTAACTCCTCCTCCTACCCGTGATCACTGAGATCGGTTGTCCCAGCGCATCCCCCTCTGTGGAACATGCCCCAGCCATTTTGTTGGCTGGGACCCACTCCCCGGCAGCCCTGACCCCTCCCCTTAAGAACAAAATAAGACCTTAAAACAATAAAAACAAAAACAAAAAACCCCAGAAAACAAAAAACTATACAAATAAAAAACTATAAAAATTACAAATCCATCAAAATCAAACAAATTCCCAACTAAACATCCATCCCACCCCCATCCCCATCCCCGCATATACAAATAAAATAAAATAAAATAAAATAAAAAGGAAAAGGAAATTTTTAAAAAACATTTTAAAAAGAACTCTGCGCCCCTCCGGATCCCCCTGGGCCGCAGCAGCAGTGACAGCAACCGTCCCTGTGAGGCCTGTCAGGCCCCGCCCTGGGCCAGGTGGTAAGTGGCAGGAAGGAGCAGGGCCCTCAGACACTCACACAGGAGAGTCCTCCTGGGCAGCAGAGCGCAGCAGTCCCTGTGAGGCTTCAGGCCCCGCCCTGGGCCAGGTAGGTGGTAAGCGGCAAGAGCAGGGCCCTCAGACACTCACACAAGATGTTCCTCATGGTCCCTTCCAACTTTACAATTCTATAATTCTATAAGTATTTGATACCTGCAAACTCTCAACACAAACTCTTCTCCTAGCACCCAACCTTTGGGACTCTCTGCCCAGGGAGGCGATTTATTTTGTTTGTTTCTAAAACCTTCCTATTCTTTCTTTCAGTTCTAAAAAGAGCACCTGTCCCAAGGCAGTTTCCAACAAGAAGACATTAATAAATTGATAAGAGCATTCAAAGCCAAAATAAACCAGCCGGAACAAAACAATAGCTCAATAGAAAGGAGATATTAAAACCTGGCAGAACAAAAATGTGTTAAATGTCTGTCTAATGGACAACAGAGAAGGGGGTCATTCTAATATCATTGAAGAGGGACTTCCCCAACTGGGGTGCTACCACTGAAAAGGTCCTGTTCCATGTCTCCACAAATTGTATCTCTCTTGGCAGAGGAACATGAAGACATTAAGAGTACTGCTGGATCAGCCCAAGTATCAAGTCCAATATTCTGCTCCCACAGTGGCCAACCAGATGTCTGCAGAGGTCCACAAGCAGAGCATGAGCACAAGATAGCTCTCTCTCTCTCTCTCTCTTTCTCTCTCTCTCTCTCTCTCTCTCTCTTATCCACAGCAACTGGAATTCATTGACATATTACCTCTGATCCTGGAAGTAATATAGCCAGCCTGACTAGTACCGATTGATAGTGTTATTCGTGAATTTCTCAGATCCCATTTTATTTATTTTATTTTTTAATAATTTTATTTGGTTTTGCATTTATATCACAACCACATCATAACAAATAATAAAAAATTGAATTCCCCATTTCCCCCCGCCCCCCTGTGACTTTCCTCAACTTCCCTCAACTGGATTTTTTTATATATATGAACTTGCCCTGCTTGCAGTACAGTGGTACCTCGGGTTACAGATGCTTCAGGTTACAGACTCCTCTAACCCAGAAATATTACCTCGGGTTAAGAACTTTGCTTCAGGATGAGAACAGAAATCACGTAGCGGGAGGCTCCATTAGCTAAAGTGGTACCTCAGGTTAAGAACAGTTTCAGGTTAAGAACGGACCTCCAGAACGAATTAAGTTCTTAACCCGAGGTACCACTGTACTATACTTCAAAATTATGTTCTTTGAGTCAGATGTTTTTGTATTCTTATCACTTTAACCTCATCCTTATAGCTTCTATGTTGATTTTGTTAATTGTATGTGTTTACTCAAACCCCGCTAGTGAGTCCATTTCTTTACATTGATTCCATAAATACAATATAAATGGTTCCCAGTCTTTTTTTAAGTCTCTATTGTCTTCATCTCTAAGTCTTTCAGTTAGCTTCGCCATTTCACCATATTCCATCAGTTTCTCTTGCCATTGTTCTTTAGTTGGTATTTCATCGCTTTTCCATCTTTGGGCTAGTAAAATCCTAGCCATTGTTGTAGCGTACATAAAAAGATCTTTCTTCTCTTTTGGCAAATCTTGTCCTGAAATGCCTAGTAGAAAAGCTCCTGGTCTCTCAGATCCCCTTTTAAAGCCCTCCAATGAACACAGAGTGAGGCTTCTGAGGATGACTGCAACTGACATGTAGATTCAGGGAGGGTGGGTGAGGTGTTCCCTCAAATACCCTGCTCCCAAGCCCTTAGAGCTTTACAGATCATTGCCGGCAGCTTGAATTGGGCCTAGAGGCAAACCGGAGGCTAATGCAATTTTAGTAAGGCTGGCATAATATGGCCAGCAAAACAAGCACTGGAAATTATTCTGGCACCAGCTGCACTTTCTGCACACTTTTCAAGAGCAGCCCCACATAGAGTGTCTTGCAATAATCGAATCAGGATGTGGCCAAGGCATCTGCCTAGCTAGCCACTTCCTCCTCCTCCTCCTCCTTCTGCTTACTGGTGAAGATCTTTTTATATCTGGAGGTCTGAACTGTTTTAACAAATAAAACCATCTGTTGCACTGGCATGAGCCTTGCATAAGCAGGTGTACATGTTCCAAGCAGATATGCTTCTCCGTTTATGTGTGCTGTTCAGTTTCCCCACACAAAGTGGCCCAGTATGAGTGTGTGTGTGTGTGTGTGTGTGTGTGTGTGTACGCACATGTGTGAGTTTATACACACACACACACACACACACACACACACACACACACACTTCCCAATGTAGGCAACCTCTGGGTTTGTTCTTTTCTGCGTGTGCTTTGCTGACTTCAGCATGCATTTCTGTACGTACAAAACAGTGATTGTGCACACAAGGCCCTTGCCACATGGAAGTCAATTACTGGATTTGGATTGGAGATTTGTTGGCTGGGTGGATGGTTATTAGAGTGACGTATAGCTTTGATGTGAAACTCCCTGGGACTCATTTTCGGTCTCCCATTAACTCAGAGGTTTTGTGGCAGGCTTGACGTTTTTGTTGCTTTGCTGTCTCCTCGTTAGAGGCTGAAAATTGCATCTGTGTCATTTACATTTCGCTTCTCCATATATATTGCTCACATTACTTTTTTACTCTCTTGGACAGTCTAAAGAAAACTGTTCACATAGGGGGACATTAGAAAGTCAAACAGCCCCCCCTCCCCAAATAAAGGTTTGCAAAAAGCTTCGGGAGGCAGAGATGCGAGCATCAGAGGGGAGAGGGAAGGAAAGAGGGACAGAGGTCAGCGTTGCTCATGGCATCCCTGACCATCACTCAAGGCACTCCAGGGTGCCACGACACACTGGTTGACAACCACTGCCTCTAAGTCTCCCTGCATATACGGCATTTCCTAGTCTTGTGGGTCCTGTTGTTTGAGGTTTGGAAACCAAAGATCACCAGTGTCGAAGCAATGATTCTTCAACATCAACTTGGTTGGACTGGTCATGTTGTGCAGATGCCTGATGATCATCTTCCAAAGCAACTACTCTATTCCGAACTTAAAAATGGAAAGCATAATGCTGGTGGTCAACAAAAGAGGTTTAAAGACTGTCTCAAGGCAAATCTTAAAAAAATGTAGTATAAACACTGACAACTGGGAAACACTGGCCTGCAAGCGCTCCAGTTGGAGAACAGCCTTTATCAAAGATGTCAGGGGCTTTGAAGACACTCGAACTCAGGACGCAAGGGAGAAACGTGCTAAGAGGAAGACACGCTTGGCAAATCTACACCGTGATCAACTCCCACCTGGAAACCAATGTCCCCACTGTGGAAGGACATGTGGATCCAGAATTGGCCTCCACAGTCACCTACGGACTCAAACTGTGTTTATGGAAGACAATCTTACTCGGCTAGGAGTGATCACTAAAGGAGAAGAAGAAGTTGTTTGAGGTTTGTTCTTTTATTTACAGTTTTGGTTTTGAGGCAAAACTTTTTGCATTTACGTAGGGGGATTATAAACTGTCAATAGCTATTTTGAACAAGCTGTATGCGTGTGTGCGGAAGTAATTAACATTCTGGATGAAGAAGATCTCATGTGTTCCTTGGCAGAAGAACGTATATCTCTGGATTTTCACAGGCCCTCAGCATGCATGACAGGAGATTCCCCCACAATTTCACTTAAGCACTTTCCTCAGCAAACACACCTAATTTCCTCCACAATAGAGAGAATGTTCCCATCCTTTTAATCCTTACCATTTGCTTGTTTTTGTTAAGAGCCACATCGTTCCATGTACTGGGGAAAATAGGGTGGAGGGGAGATAATGCTTGCTTAAGTCCCATGGACTTCAGTAGGGTTTAAGCACACATGAGAAGGCCACAGGTTCACACAGCCAGTACGAGAATCTGGATCCAGTTGCCCCGATATCTTTAAAAACAAACCGGTTTAAAGGCCATCTCTGTTGGCTGGCATAACAGAAAACACTTATGATTTTTTAATAATTAAAAAAACACAGCGTACACAGTTACACACTAGAGTGATGCAGGACGGATGTCTCCTGCTTTTCCAAAATAATCAGAATCAGGGCTTCACCTCCGCGTTTACACAGCAGCGGGGGGCCATTGTCTTGGTGTGGCCGTTCCGTTCCGCTGACTTTACGGGGTTCGGACAAGGCACGACGGAGCTGTGATCTGCACGGAGAAGACAGAGTGTTCTGGGCTCACATGCTGAACGTAAACATTTGCGCTGTCAAAGGGCAAGGCTTTCATTTCAGGCTCTCAGAGAACCAGGACAAAATATTTCCTTTGGAGGATCTCACACATCATTTCGGCTGGATAAACACATGCGCTGATCATCTGCATCTGGGTGGCTCCAGACTTCTTTCCCTTCCCAGAGCCTCGCATGCAACACAGCGTTTCGTCAGGCCAAAGGGACAGGCTGCCTCATGACAAACCTAGACAGCATCTTAAAAAGCAGAGACATCACGTTGCCAACAAAGGTCCGTATAGTTAAAGCTATGGTTTTCCCAGTAGTGATGTATGGAAGTGAGAGCTGGACCATAAAGAAGGCTGATTGCCGAAGAATTGATGCTTTTGAATTATGGTGCTGGAGGAGACTCTTGAGAGTCCCATGGACTGCAAGAAGATCAAACCTATCCATTCTGGAGAAAATCAGCCCTGAGTGCTCACTGGAAGGACAGATCCTGAAGCTGAGGCTCCAATACTTTAGCCACCTCATGAGAAGAGAAGACTCCCTGAAAAAGACCCTGATGTTGGGAAAGATGGAGGGCACAAGGAGAAGGGGACGACAGAGGACAAGATGGTTGGATAGTGTTCTCGAAGCTACCAGCATGAGTTTGACCAAACTGCATGAGGCAGTGGAAGACAGGAGTGCCTGGCGTGCTCTGGTCCATGGGGTCACGAAGAGTCGGACACAACTAAACAACAACAACAACCTCATGACAGGAGGTGCTGGTCACTGAGTGACACTCGCCAAGGCCACTTTTGATGTGTGGGGTGGTCCTGAACACATCTCCACACTCATGGGGCCAGGGTTCTTAAGACGTGGGGCACTTGGGGCTCTCAGGATGGCAGCAATACCTTGCGGGAGACACACATGCACCTTCAGACATACCAGCTTAATGTGTACATTATGGCATCAGGGTGCAAAGGATTCTGGGACCATTTTGCACCGCACAGTGGAGACGGAGCCATTTAGCCACATACACAGGCTAAATACAGGCCTTTGGAGAGGGGAAGGTAGCTGAAGAGGAACATGGTACCTACAATGACGGCCTTGGAGTTCTCTGCCTGAAAAAGTTGCCGTTTGTGGTTTAACTTGTTTTATTTCACCTTTGCAAACAAGGTTGTCTTCAGTCCAGCTGGACTTGTGAGGGAGCAGAACTTGAAACCCAACAGAAAAGCAGCAGTATATTCCATCCATTATCCACCTTCTGGGTCCTGCTCTGTGGAGATGTTGATGTCCATTATGTATGACTCTTCTACTGTTTTCCTAGAGTGCCCTACTTCACCAAGGGGATTCCTCAACTTGGAGGCCTGTCTGGCCTGTTTAATGCTAAAGAGTCACAAGAAGGGAGAGCAGAGGGGAATTGAAGTTGCCCATCATGACTTCACACCTGAACAGCAGACAAAACAACCACAGAGATCACCTGAATTATTATTATTAATAATAATAATATATTACTTATACCCCACCCATCTGGGTAGGTCTCCCCAGCTACTCTGGGCGGCTTCCAACAGGATATTAAAAACATAATAAAAGATCAAACATTTAAAACTTCCCTCAACAGGGCTGCCTTCAGATGTCTTCTAAAAGTCAGATAGTCTTGACATCTGGTGGGAGGGCGCCACTACCGAGAAGGCCCTCTGCCTGTTAGTAATACTAAATGTCACCTAGACATTTAAATCAACATACAGTGGTACCTCGGGTTAAGAACTTAATTCGTTCTGGGGGTCAGTTCTTAACCTGAAACTGTTCTTAACCTGAGGTACCACTTTAGCTAATGGGGCCTCCTGCTGCCACCCCGCCACCACCACACAATTTCTGTTCTCGTCCTGAAGTAAAGTTCTTAACCCAAGTTACTATTTCTGGGTTAGTGGAGTCTGTAACCTGAAGCGTCTGTAACCCGAGGTACCGCTGTATTTATGCAAATCTGCCTCCTCTTTTTTTTCTTTTTCTTTTTCTTGGCAATGCATTAAGTGCACAGACCACTTGTTCCTTGTCTTTGAGCATCTTCTCCGGCCTGCATAATCTTGTGGCGCAGTTTCTAGAAGGCCTTGTAATTGTGGCCCATCACCTAAATGGCAGTCCCCCAATGGTTCCACGACAGACTCTTTTTTCCAGAATTGTGGGATTGGTTGTTGATAGGGGGCAGAGGGAGAATTCATATGGAGCATTTCTAGAGATGAAGTTGTGCCAGAACTTAAACTTTGGGCTGGGCCTTCTTCTGTTGCCTAGGCAACGGAGCCCTGCTGCTATGACTTTGACTGCAGTTTCTGCAGCCCCTGCTAATGACTTCACAGGGATCCTGGCAAACAGATATCCTGGTTTGATCTGGTGCTGCCTCCTTTCCCGATCTGGCCTTGACAACTGCTACAAAGCCGTTATCAACTGATTTGTATTTATTTAAAACCGCTTTATCTTGCCACACCCCAGCATGCGCCCAAGGCAGTTTTTACAGCAGCTTTTAAAACAGCATCCATCAAGCCAATCGTATAAAACAAATAAGTGAGATTAACCAACCAAAGAGCAAAGTCAGCGGCATCAGGGGGGGAAAGTTCAAGACGTCAACCCATGGAAATGAAATCGCTTTCGCCTGGTGCCAAAATGCTAGAAGGATGCATGTCAAGCAAGAATCCATGGAGAGGTTATTTCAAAGATATAGAGGTGTAACTTGGAGGGGAGGTTTTGCCATAACCACCAATAACTATCGGTAAAAGCCAAGAACGTCACACCTAGTCCCCAGTCCCATTGCTCATGACTAGTGCAGAAAAATAGATCACAATTTTCTGTCTCTGGCACCAAAATATATTGGGCCAACTGAGAGGGTGCTGTCACTAGGTGAGAGAGCTGGGCAGAGTGTGCCAAATTACCTGTGACTCCTACCACTTCAGCATTATTGGCTTCCCCCCAAAAAATAATAATAATCAGAACTGTAGTTTGTTAAGTGCTGAAAGTTGTTGAGAGGCACCTCAGAGAGCTACAGTTCCCAGCACGCCCCACAAACTACAGCTCCCAATTTGGGGGCAGGAGGAGCCATGAAATGGCATAAGAGTGTTTTAAATGTACGACAGCAATGTGACCATACCGTGAATCCAGTTTTTTAAAGGCCAGGGGACGTGCTGCCTACAAAACACCTTAAACATGATTAAAAAGTGTTTTTTTATTGCACTATTAAAAGCAACGTTACGAGAGGACGTGCCCAAGCCTGAAGAGAAGAAATTCCCTTCTTGTGCTACGGAGAGACCAGCTTGCAAGCAATAAAAGTTATTATGCAAAGGAAGCCCTCAGGGCATATATCAAAGGCATTGAGATATGATTGGCAAAGTATACTGACGAGAGAATTAACTGGGCCCCTTCTTCACCTTACGCTGCCCTACAAGCCCAAATGGCTCACGGAAGAGTAAGAAAATATGGATTTGGCTATGTGGGGAGGGGTGGTTCCTTTTTTCTTATATACGTGTGTGATGGGATGATGAGCTGCTTGTGCGTAAAATCGTATCCCCTCAGAGTTTGTTCAAGTCCACAAACCTCTGTCTGTGACGGAGCCCCTCAGACATGGCTCCTCTAGTCACTAGCAGATTCCGACAGTGGTTGCTTTCGTAATCGCTTCCAACATAAAAGCTCCTTAACGGAAACACGTCTTCTGGACTCTCTGCGTGACAGTTTCCGGCGAGGAGTGGGTGTTCTTACAGGAGGTCCTGAAACCTCCCCACTGTTTTCGCTGGAAGTGTCTCTGAGCCATCCCTCCAGCTCACTTTCCCTCAGCTCAGCTCCTCTCCCCTGCTGGTTCCCTCTTCAGCTGCTGAGTCTCTCCCAACCTGTGTGAGCCCTTTCACCTCCCTGCTGGTTCCCTCTTCAGCTGCTGAGTCTCTCCCAACCTGTGTGAGCCCTTTCACCTCCCTTCCGTCCGATGGCAGTTCCCTGACATCCACCTCCCCTCCAGGCCCCCCTTCACCCCCTCTCGCCCCCTCCTCTACGGGCGGTGAGGAGGCAAAACCCCGGAATGAACTTCCTTCATCTTCCGATGTCTCGAACACTTCTCTCCACCTGTTGCGGTTCCTGGTCTCGAAGTACTCTTCCTCCTCAGAGTCCATCTCCCCTTCCCCTTCCGAGTCCGGGAATCCTTCCAACTCCTCCCCCCTCATCAGTGGTCCCAAAGTATTCCCTCCGGAACCTCTCCACAGGCTGAGGTTTCCTTGGGAACCTTTGATGGAACGTTTCTATCAATACCTCGTCATTGATATCTTCGGCCATTACCCAAGTGTTTTCTGACTCCGGTTCTCCTTCCCACGCTACCAAATACTCCACCTGATCCCCCTTCCACCTGGCGTCGAGGATTTCTGCCACATGGCTGCTGCATTCTCTTTCTTCTATGACCGGTCCCCGAGTGGCCATCCCTTCTCGTCCCCTTCGTACGGTGACAGTAACGACCTGTGAAATACTGGGTGCAGTTTCATGTGGTTGGGTAACCGGAGCCTGAAAGCCACTGGGTTGACCTGTTGAATGACCTCAAAGGGACCCAACCTCCTGGGTCTTAATTTCTTACAACCTCCTTTGAACGGCAGCCCTTGGGTTGACAGCCACACCCTATCTCCCACCCTTATGGTTTCACCTTCCCTTCGGTTCTTGTCTGCCTGCCTCTTGTATTCTTCCTTCGCCCTTTCTAAGTTGAGTTGGAGCTGACGATGGATTGCTTCCATTTCTTCCACAAAATGCTCCGGCTGCCGGGACGCTCCATCTCTCCCCATCTCCCCTGGGAAAGCCCTGGGATGACACCCATAATTAGCCAAGAAGGGGCTCATCCCTGTGGACACATTCTCGGCATTGTTGTAGGCAAATTCCGCCAGCGCCAACTTTTCTACCCAGTCATTCTCTCTGTCATTGACATAACACCTCAGGTATTGCTGGAGGACACCGTTTGCTCTTTCCGCCTGCCCGTTGGTTTCAGGGTGCCGGGCAGTCGAAAAATTGACCTCCACCTGCAGTAAGCTCATGAGCTTCCTCCAGAACCTGGAAGTAAATTGTTTTCCTCGGTCTGAGACCACCCTCAATGGCACCCCGTGCAACCTAAAAATGTGTTCTACAAATAACTTCGCTGTCTCTTCCGCCGTGACTGCATGCGAGCAAGCTACAAAGTGGCACATCTTGGTTAGTAGGTCTACCACCACCATGATGGCTGTTTTCCCTTTGGACTTCGGCAGATGAGTCATAAAATCTATCGACACTGCCTCCCAAGGTCGTTCTGGGGTTGGTAAGGGTTCTAATAGCCCCGCCGGCGCCCGCCTTTCCCCTTTGGCTCGCTGGCATTGCTCGCACCCTCTTACATACTCACGTACATCTTCCCTCACCTTAGGCCACCAAAATTCCCTGGTGACCAACCACATGGTTTTGTGTTGTCCAAAATGCCCCGCCGTAGGGCTGTCGTGCAACTGCTTGAGTACCCTCCCCTTAAGTCTCCTTCAGGGATATACAGTGCCCCTTTGTAATACAAAGCTCCATTTCTTTCCTCGAAACCCCTGGTTCCTCTCCCTCACCCCTAAGACCTCTGAGCTTATTCTGGGCGTATTCATCATTCTCTGTTTCCTCTACCAGTTCTCTTTGTCCCACCAATGCCGCCCCACACACCCAGCGGTCCTCTGGAATGACATGTCTCTCTTCGGTGCTCCCTCCCCCTCCAAATATTCAGGTTTGCGTGAGAGAGCGTCCGCCCTAATGTTCTCTGGGCCTGGCACGTAACAAATCTCAAAGTTAAATTTGGAGAACTCCTGGGCCCATCTCACTTGCCGTTGGTTGAGCACTCGTGCCGTCCTCCAATACTCTAGGTTCTTGTGGTCAGTGCACACTTGCACCTTATGTTGTGCGCCAATTAGCAGGTGCCTCCATCTCCGGAACGCCTCATGAATGGCTAGTAGTTCTCGGTCATACACCGTGTAGTTCCTCTCGGATTTGTTCAGCTTTCGCGAAAATAGGCACACGGTCTCCACTCTGACTCCTTCTTCCCTGGCTGCAGAAGCACCGCCCCAATCGCTCTGTCTGATGCGTCAGTTTCCACTCTCATCGGTTTTTGTAAATCCACATGCAGGAGTTGTTGTTCCGAGGCGAAGGCCCTTTTTAGTTCCTCAAATGCTCGCTCCGCCTCCTCAGTCCAAACGAACTTCTTCTTACTGCTGAGACAGTCTGTAATGGGCGCCGTCAGGTGGGCAAAGTTTCGGATGAACTTACGATAGAAGTTCCCAAATCCTAGGAACCTCTGCACATCCTTCCTTGTTTTGGGTGTTTTCCATTCCAGCACCGCCTGGACCTTGCCGGGATCCATGGCCAATCCCTTGTCTGACAGGCGATACCCCAGGAATTCCACCTCCTTGGTATGAAACTGACACTTCTCCAGTTTCACCCACAGCTGGTTGGCTTGCAGCCTGCTCAACACTTCTCTGACGTCTCTCACATGCTGCTCCTCATTCTCAGAATACACCAACACGTCGTCTAAAAAGGCCACACAATTCTTGTAAAGCAAAGGCCCCAGGACGTGGTTCATAAACGATTGAAATGTTGCGGAGCCTGCTTGTAGGCCGAAGGGCATAACCAAATATTCAAATGCCCCTAAAGGGGTGAACATAGTGGTTTTCCATTCATCCCCCTTCCTTATTCGTACCAGGTTGTACGCCCCCCTTAGGTCCAGCTTTGTGAAAATCTTTCCCTTCCGCACCCTTGTCAAAATGTCGTCAATCCTGGGCATAGGGAAGGCCACTGGTTCTGACACTGCATTTAAGGCCCTGAAGTCACACACCAGCCTCGGCTTGTTCGTGTTTTTTATCCACAAAAACACTGGGCTGCCCCCACCGCCCTGGACTCTCTGATGAACCCTCTCTTCAGGTTCTTGTCAATGAACTCTCTTAGCTCCTGCATCTCTCTGTCTGACATGGCGTACAGCTTGCCTACAGGGAGCTGTGCTCCAGGGAGTAAATTGATTTGACAGTCAAAGGGTCTATGCGGGGGTAGTTGGTCAGCTTCCCTTTCGCTGAAGACGTCACGGAGATCTGCATATTGTCGTGGTACCTTCACGTTCTCCGTTACTTCAGTCCCTGCTAGGGTGGCTTGGGCCCCTGCCAAACCCTTTCCCTCTTTGCAGTGTTCTAAGCAATGTGCTGAACCAAAAGAAACCACTCTCTGATGCCAGCCCAC